GTCAGCAGAGCTGTACAGCAGCTTATGCGGTAGAAATAATGTTCTGGATCCATGGAGTGTAGCTGTAGAGGTCAGTGAAGACAACAGTGTTTCCTGTCAGAATACATCCAGTTGCCCAAGACATAACTCCTCGTAATTCACTACCACATATGGCTGGTGCCGCTGTGACCACCTGTGGACAGAGCAGAGGGGATCAGAACTTCCCGCCCACCTGAGAATTCCTCCACACTGAAACAAACACAAATTGGTCTGCCAAGCAAAGAGCCCAGGGTATAAGAAAATGGTATGAAAGTTGCTTCCCACTGCAATAACTACCCCTACCTCCCAGCAACACCTAAACAGAAATTTCAGAGCAGTAGCTGGAAGATAGCTTTATGCTGTCCCCAAATCTACTTCTCTTATCTCTAACACAAGGTGGAACAGAGTCATCATTCTTCAGCCCCTTACTCTCTGAGCTCTTAGCCTGACTTCACATTCCAGACACTCAATGAAGAATGACAGGCGACAGAGACACGAAGACAAAGGGAAACAAAAAGCATACAGGCACATGAGGTAAGAAAGGTTACCTGGCATTGCTCTTGGCTTCTTAGCAAGTGTTCCGTACAGAACATGTCTTCAAGGAATTTTTCACCCAGTAATTTTTTGCAGTTTAAAGGAGAGTTCAATCGGATCTTCAGGCTGTACAGGTTACTGTCTGGGTTTCCTAAGCACAAGACATGAAGCAGGCTTTCATTCCTGTGTGTATTTGCATAAGGCATCTTGCCTCCTTATTCAGGCCTCCTTCGCAGTTAAAATGGGCTGCCGAGGAAGAACGGACGGACTTCACCATGGATGAACCACGTCCTCATGCTCAGTGGATCATCTCTGACAGATTATCAGCATCAAGGTGTGGCTGGTAAGAAGATACTCCACACATCAACCAAGCTCTGAATCCAAGCTATGCCATCACCAAGTTCAAGACATTGGACCATTAGTTAATGTCCCTGAGTCTTGGTTTCCTCATTTAAAATATAAAAATCCCAAGAAAATATCTACATGGTAGATGAGGAGAGCTGAATAATATGTAGAGGATGCTTAGTACCTGGTGCATCATTAGTACTCAACAAATGGTGGGTATTATTGATGTTGTTGTAATGAACACAATATGATTCCTATGAGGTAAAGGGAAACTGTGATGTTCCCAAATTTTCAANGGAGTTTGTCTGTATGGCTCCCTGTTTGATTTCTCATTATTCAAGAATATAACTACTCAGAACTCTTGATGGTACCATCTTCCCCTTGACAGTCACTCAGGAAACCCCAACCAAGGCCTAAAAGTGTGCCTTTTTATACAAGTTTTGGAGTGTGGCAGCCTGGCTCAGATAGGCTCGGCTTAGGAGCAGGAGAGCTAGTCATGCTGAGCTTCAGGTCAGCCTCCCGCCAGTGTGGGGAGCCCGTGAAAGACGGCAGCCGTGCGGTAGAATCCAGGAGGAAGGCAATGCCTTCAGAAAGAAAGAGGCAGCTGAGGAGATCTGCGGAGATGCAGGAGGTTTAAGATACAAATAACCCCACAGAGATTCCATGAAAAGCAGGAAGAATGAACATACAAAGCAACGAGCACACAGTGGTCTAGGTGGCAGAGATAGAAGGGGTTTTGGAAACCACCATTTGAGAGGTTTTTAATCGTAGCAACAGAGAGCCCAACTCGAATTGTCTCACACACTGAAAGGAATTTAGTAGGTGATAACTAAAAATATCCAGAGAGAAGACCTAAATTCTGGCAGAGTTTTATCAGGATTTCAGCGACGTTTGTGGGCGATTCTCTTGTTTTGACCTCCCCTGTGGGTGCACTTCATCCTTAGACAGCTTCCCTGATGGTGGGGTAATGACAGCAGCAATGCTGACATCTCAGGCACATGCCACACTGCCCAGAACAATGTCTTGACAAAGCTCATTACAGTGTTGTCTCAACATGGGACATACACAGAGCGATGGCTGTGTGCCTGAGCCAGACACAAGGATTTCACCAATAAGCTTAGGTCAGGCAGGCCACACCCCTAGGGGATGACTGTGACATAACAGAGGAGGGGTAGAGTGGGTGCTGGGAAGGCAAATATAGTGTCCACGACTGCAATCATCAGGTCTAACTCTTTTGTTTTACCGATAAAACAAATTTAAAACCCAAAACTCAATGGTTTTCCAAATTTACATCATTCGTCAATTATAGGCTAAGAATTGAACCACAGTCTACTGAATATCAATCCCCTTCGTACTTCCAAAGAAGGACATCAGCTGAGGAAGAAAAGGTGTGATGTCAGAAGTATGTAAATAATAGGCAAGCATGCGTAATAAACATGGTGAGATTAGAATAAGTTACCCAGGGAACCAATAGACATGAAGATACATCATCAGATTTCTGAATGATCTCTACAGGAAGCTGGAATGGGTCTGAGATGAATAAATAAAAACAGAATAAATTAGAGTTAAACAGAAACCAAATATGTAACATACACATATGCATTTAGAAGGGATCTTTGAGATAATCTATAAATTAAGTTACAGATCCAAGAAAGGTGATCACTCTCTTCCTGAGCTGAAGGTGAGGACATGATTGAATCAGAAGGTTGGAGACAAGATGAGAACCAGAGTGGGGAGAAGAACCATCCACCTAACCAAACAGAGCACGCCCTCCTGTTCCCATGATTGTTGTGTTCTCCACTTTCCATATCGAAATCTCTTGGTTTACATCAGGGACCCATTTCAGTGCAATGGACTCAAGCTAAAGAGAAGGAAGGGCATGAACATTAGCCCCAACCCATTAGCCCACAAGAAGGAGCCAAAATGGGAATACGGCAGAGCTTGGGGAGCCTGTCAGGAGACAGGTGGATGCGATGGTGAGAGAAAGCAGAGCACAGGCTACCTGAAGTTCTAGGTACGCCGAGTTAAAATGGGGGATAGGAAGCAAAAGGCTTTGGAAATAATCATCTACAGGATCAGAGTTTAGGAGAAATGGACGGGATAATTAGAAAAGTATTCACACTCTCCAAAAATTAGTAGTCTGATAAATAGCTCAGTCTTAGATAGATACATAGATAGATAGATAGATAGATAGATAGATAGATAGATATAGATTGATTGATTGATTTATCCTTTGCTTTTTATACTGGGGATTCAGATGAAATGGAGACAAGGGAATTCATATAGGAAAACTCAAGTTAAGAAGATATGAAGTAAAAATGCCCAATCAATGAAGAACTGGTAACCCAGCAATTACACCTGATGCCATCTAGAACAACTGCAGTATAATGGAGACAGATCTATACAAGTATGAGGACAGACATAGAGGTATATGGGTTGTTAAGAAGATCTTCCCAGTGAAAAGTTCAGGTTGCAACTAACTCAGGTGGCTGAGGACAATACCCCATCTGGCATGTGATAAGTTAGGATGGAGAGTATCTCTAACAACTTGTAGTAGGAATTAAGTAGGTAACCAAAGGGTGAAACTGGTGGAAACTGTTAAAATTACTAACCACTGCTAATCCCTGAACCCCTCCTCTGCACACTCAGATTTTCCCACAATGTCTCTGATCCCCATAATATTCATAAAAGACTAGAGTTTGCTTTGCAAAGCTTTGTAAAAGTGGGTGATTTATATCAATCAGATAGCAACTTGAACAAAAGAATCCCAATATTTCACAGCATCGGACAAATCAAAGTGTCTTTCACATTTCAGATGCTCTGCAATTTCTTGAATGCTCAATATTTTGTATGAAAATGGACAGGCTTTAGTTTTAAAATCAGCTTAATCTATCATGGATTTATGAAAAAAAAAAGTGGAGAACACATTTTTGGAGTGACCAACATGTGTCTTTGGGGTGTGCTTGTGGGTAAAAGTGTGCGTTCATTAGAGAAAGGGCAGCCAGGGGACGTGTGAAAACTCCCAGGCAAAAGCCTCATGAACTCCACCAGTCTGTTCCCGTTTAAAAATTCACATGCTGATTCTAAGCAAATAAAAAAAAACAACCAGTAAACAGAAGAAAACGTGTTGGAAAAACACCCATCCTATCATTTATGAAATCCATGATATCTGTAATATGCACTATAGCTGTAGTTCAAAATACAGAAATCCTTATTCCAAAAATTAAACTGACCTTTGGGTAGCATCAGCAAACCGAAGCAAAACTTGAANGCTTAGATAGGAGGGATCAATGCCCCTCAGGCAGGGATAAAAAACTGCAGGCTCTCCCCGACCCCACCGCCTTTCCAGCTCTGTCCCTACGAAGCTCACTGCGTGGAGCTGCTGGGCTTCTTGTCATTCAGTTGCTGGCTGTCAGAGAAGCCACAGGAGGGGAAAAAAGAGAGCTGAGTTTGTCTTCTGTCCTGACTCATCAGGCAGAAAGATCCTTTCACCTTCCATTAGGAAGGATAGGGGAGGGAGTAAGGCAAGAGGCCAGGAATATTTAGGGACAATCTCTCCTCCTAGGAACCAGTGAGACAGGGAATATAGGCGGCTACCCTAATAACAATCTATCATACTCGACTATAAGCCATCCCTCCAGGTGTATTCAGCTAATCTCCTGTGTTCACTCTCCCTGTACTATCGCCATCTGGGTTACTTAGCTTGCCAAATGCTTACTTACCAAATGCTGTCCCTATCTCCCTGAACTCACACTTCTGTTCATGCTGGCTCTGCCTCTTGAAATGCCCTGTCTTCACATCCTTGTCTACCAACATCGGGCCCATGCTTTATGGATGAGCTGAAAGGATTACTCTTTCAACTAAGCTGTTCTTCCATCCAGATGTGACGTCCGCGTCTCTGAGATGTCCCAAGCGCTCTGTCCCTTTCCTCAAGGACTTAGCAGGTTCAGCACAGCACCACAGTAATTCGTGGCTGTGTCTTATCCCAATTGCATGGCTTTCAGTGCATAATTCAGGGGCAGGGTTCACTTTTATAGTCTTCACAGAGCCTGGTGTAGTATCTCACATAGCACATGTGTTAAGTTTCTGTTAAAAGAGGAATAAGTGTACTCGTATGTGTGATTAAATAAGGAACTCCCCAGATCCTCATTTCTAGAAAAGTTTTGCCGACTGAAAATCCAACGCATGTGTACATGTGTTGTGATCTTCAAAATGAGTGATGTGCTTCTTGGGGAATCTAAGGACAGAGTAGTGCTTTCAAGGTATTGGGTACCTATCATGTGTCGGATGCTTCACAACTTGAGATTATGTCATTCAACCACCACCACAGACCTATCACTAAGGTAGTAGCTAACACCTATTGAGATCTTACTATGCACTATGCCCTCTTCTAAGAACTAGGTACATATTACATAATTTATAATCCACAACTATTCCGTGTGGTGGTAGGAGCTCTCCTTTAATAGACAAGGAAAATGAAATAGAAGTTAGGGAACATAACTCGGGTCCTCATAAGTTGTAAGCAATAAAGTCAGGATGCAAAAGCTAGCTGCCTGACTCCACAGTCTGGTCTTTTAGTCACTAGTTCTTATCATCCTCTTTTTTTAAAATGACAAAACAGGTTCAGAGGGTTTAAATTCCCCTCAGACACACAGCTAATTAATAGTGAGGCTGGATTTTGAGACTAGATCTATTTGATTCTACAGCTTCATATCAACCCCCTAACATCTACTATCTCCATTATAAATGAAACTTTTCTTCTGTCTGATAAACTTAAAAATATTTAAGTGGCAGAGCTTTGGGCCT